GGACTGATATTTAGAAATTAGAAGTTCAATAGTCTGTGGCGTTGTATGCCACTATGCCTAATGATGTCATTTTGGATTTTGAATATTGTCAAAAGCTAGTTTTTGAAGTTTGAACCTTGATGTATAAACTTTTGGAGCTTCCTCTTAAATCAATGAAATAATGATGCATGAATTTTATATTATATTTTTATTTTTTTCATTTTAAGCACTATATTTGTGATTTTATATGTATATAAATATGTATATATATTTGTTATAAATATATATGTAGTGTTGTGAATCACGATTCGATTCGATTCATGATTCAATTTTTTAGAAATACAATTCACGATTCGATTCGCGACTTGACAACCATGATATCATCTATTAAAAAACATTAAGTCCATCAGATAATCGTAATTTTTCATTTTATGACATCTGTCTCCAAAAAAATGGAAGGCAAGTGTGTTTTTTAAAATAAACCATCTACTTTTTTCGAGACAAACGCAATAAAATAAGGATTTATTGGTGATAAGTCCATTTATATGGGAGGATATGACATTAGATCTAATGTAATGCCCCAACCCTTTACATGTCATCGATATTGTCCGCTTTGGGTCACGCCCGCACAGATTTATTCTTTCCAATGGGTCACCCATCCCATAACTACTCCAGCCTAAGCATGCTTAACTAAGGAGTTCTGCTAGGGACTTCACGACTTGGGAATAGGCCTTGATGCTATATAAGAGTCTAGGTTTTTACTTTTATAGCCCAAGAACTCCCCTTCCATTCCCGATGTAGGACACCAGGACCTTACAATCCACCCCTTTAAGGCTGTACATCCCCGTGTAGTAGCCTGCCAACTTACAAGCCCGGCTACATGCACCAAAAGACGCCAGGGGCCTACACTCAATACTTCGAAGAGTCAGCTCTGATACCATTTGTAACGCCCCAAGCCTTCATATGTCATCGATATTGTCTGCTTTGGACCACGCCTGCACGGATTTGTTCTTCCTAGTGGTTCACCTATCCCAGAACTACTCCAGCCTAAGCACGCTTAACTAAGGAGTTCTGCTAAGGATTTCACCACTTGGGAAAAGGCCTTGATAGCCCAAGAACTCCTAGTATGTATATAAGAGTCTAGGTTTTTACTTTTATAGCCCAAGAACTCCTCTCTATTCTCGATTTGAGACACCGGGACCTTACATCTAAGGACCGATCTTTTTTTATAATAAGAACATGATTAATGAAATTGTTTCATGAGAGGGACAAATTACTATTTTGAATGATTTTTCCCCTATTTTTACCCTATTGTCGTGTAGCCGGTTGCTAAAGTAATGAATTACTATCTTTACAAATTACTATTTTTATGCTTTTTTTTTTTTTGGATTCATTAGTTTTGAAATTGGACTTATGGCCTGAGTGCCCATAAAATTTTTGCAACTTAATTTTTTTCATGGATGATATACACAAAGATCCCTACAAAAGAAATAGTTCAAATCATTGAAACAAGAATGGTCACGGCCCAACAGGCCTGAATAGTTCTCTTAAGGTCATATTTGACCTTGAAAGAAGTCTAACCCAACAAGGAATTAACAAAGGATAAATTACACTAGCCTGGTTTAGAGAAAATACAGTTAGCCCCACCTTTTTGACGTAATTACATTGGTCTTCTTTGATGTTTTAATTCTGATAATTGTTAGGTAATTTTTCATCAATAATTCGTTAGGCATATAAAAAAATAAAAAAATAGTGTTGTCATTTTTTTTTTCTACAATAATTAATATCTATCTCCGTTGATTTGAGTATTTGCCCATTATCTGTATTACTTCCAACCGTTGTCATTATGTCAAAAGAATAGAAATGATTGTATTTTTCTTCAAAGTTCAGGGAGGCAAGTGTAATTTACCCTTTAAAAGGTTGTCTAAAATCAAAGAAAAAAGATCAAAAAACCCTCAGGCCAGCCACTTGGGGTTGGAATTCCCATTTCCAAAAGAGAAAAAAAAAGAAAAGAAAATCCAAACAGAAAACATGGCAGTAGATTTGGTACTGTGTGAAGTGTTGAACATATATGGCTTCAACATTGCAAATAAATTATAATTAAGCAATGACGAGATTGATGAAGGATTGATGTGTAGCTTCAATTCTCTTCATTAATTTCAATTTCGAATAATCAATATAAGTGCACACAAGTATCTATAAATATATATAAGAACGTGTATGCGCATGTAGATACATACCTGCTGCCAAATTTGTAAAGAGAGAGCAATCTAGATGGATCTCTTGCCGCCCATACATAACAGTCCTCCTTCATCTCTCCTCCTGAACTCATTTCTATCTTCGCTTTCTACCTCAAATACAGACCTCTCTCTCTCTCTCTCTCTCTCTCTCTCTCTCCGTGTATCTCGCTCTCTTATCTTTCTCCGCCTATCTCGCTCGATATATACGTACTAGAGGTCGAGTGTTTGAAATTTAAGATAAGTATTAACAATTGTTGTTAAACACTTTTTCTCAGAGGGATTGTTAACCATTTTGAATTGGGAAAATTCAAGTTAAGAAAAGTATAAGAATTATTGTTAATTATTGTTATTAGTTTTATGTATAAAGAAAGAGAAATAATTGTGTATTGAATATTGTATTAAATGTTGTGTATATAATGTGAAGGTACCTCTCCTTTTATAGAGGGGAGAGTGTTACAAAGGGGCCAAAAGAGCCGAAAGAAGAAAACATAATTATTAAACACTTTACATATTATATTCTAACAGCCCCCCTCAAACTCAAGGAGGATAGGAACCAACCAACTTGAGTTTGGAGAGAGTAACAAAACAGGAAAATAAAATAGGATAGGAGACACTGTATCGTCGTGTCAGACCGTTGTAGCAGATAATGTCTGGACAATTTACGAGGTCATGCTGGACCGTTGTAGAAGCTGACCGGAATCAATATCGGGACAGTTTATGGGGTCATGCCGGACCGATGTAGAAGCTGACCGGAATCAATGTCGGGACAGTTTACGGGGTCATGCCGGACCGTTGTAGAAGCTGACCGGAATCAATGGCGGGACAGTTTATGGGGTCATGCCGGACCGATGTAGAAGCTGACCGGAATCAATGTCGGGACAGTTTACGAGCCGGTTGTCGGAGGAGGTGGGTTCGGAGAGGAGAGGTGATGATTTGATGTAGTTGGAGGAGGGCATGATGTGTTTGGTGGTTTTGGAGGAACTAGGTCTGGGAAGGGTGGTGAGTAGTTCATGTTTTATGGTATAGAGAGAGAGATTTTTTTTTTTTGGTTTTCTTGAGTTTGATAGTGTGATCAGGAGGCCACTGATTAGTATTAGTACAGCAAACAAAAAAAAAAAAAAAGAGAGAGAATTGCTCAAGAAAAGGAGAGAGAGGCCTGGTCTTAGCCCATGTGTGTTGGTGTGTGTGAGAGAAAGTTGTATGTGTGATGCATGGTCTGTGTATCAGGCTGTGTTGCAGTGATTATCAAAGCTTGTTGGAACAACAGTGATAGGAGAGGCTTGGGGTTGATGATTGAGCTGATGAGGATGTTCACGGTGGCAGATGCGGTGCTTCTGCGGCTGCTGTTGCAGTGATTATTGGTGGTGGTCGGAGTGTTGCTGGTAGTAGATGAGAAGATGGAGCAACCGAGGTGAGTGGGGAGGAGGAGATGACAGTGGCGCACTGGTGGCAGCAGAAATGGAGGGTGGTTGGAGGAATTGGACCTGTTGAATTGGTTGAGATCCGGCGGGCGGTCAAGGCAAGGTTGTCGCCTGCCGGAAGGCGAAGAACACCAAGATCTTTAACCTATAGCTCTGATACCATATTAGTTTTATGTATAAAGAAAGAGAAATAATTGTGTATTGAATATTGTATTAAATGTTGTGTATATAATGTGAAGGTACCTCTCCTTTTATAGAGGGGAGAGTGTTACAAAGGGGCCAAAAGAGCCGAAAGAAGAAAACATAATTATTAAACACTTTACATATTATATTCTAACAATTGTTAAGCACTTAGAATTGGGAAAATTCAAAATTTGTCAAATTTACACCAACTAGATCGTTAATTAACTTGTGAAAACAATCCTCAATATAATTGAAACAGTTTATGATAATCATAATTTTTTAATACATTTTTAAATTTTTACTTTTGTAATATATATATTGTGACGACCCTGCCACGTATAATATTTTATATTTGGTCAATTAAGGAGATTTGAGATTTTAATTAGTCGTTATCTTAATTTAATTTGGAATTTATGAGAATTGTGGAACCTGATTTGTATATGATTTTTCTGAAGATTTATTTTGGAAATAGAAATTAAGGGTCCAAATGGCTTAACGAAGTGAAATTAAAAAATTTAGTCAATTTAATTTTAATTACGGACTCGTTTGGGAGTTTAATTAAATATTCGATTCAGTTTTTTAAAATTGAGAATCGATTAATTAGGTCTAAATTGGAGGTAATTAAGTTAATTAAATTATGAGGATTGAGAATTGTGATTATTGCGAATTAAATCTATTTTTGAGATATCAAATTTGAATATATAATTTGTTGACAAAAATTTTGAATCTGATCAGAAATTGAAGCCCTAAATGATTTGAGAAACAAAAATTGATGATGTCAATAAACTTAATTTGATATTTGGAGCTTTTTAGAAATTTGATGAAAAATCTGATTCAAAATAGTAAAGATTAAATATAATTAATCGGGCCTTAATTGAAGTCAACTAGATTAATTAAATTATGTGAGATTTGTGATTAGTTATGATTAATTAAATTATGATCAAGATTAATTAGTTTTTAGGGGTGATTAATTGAGCTAATTGTGATCAAAGATTAATCTCAATTAAGTATCCTAAGCAAGATTAATTAGTTAATAAAAGAATTAATACACTACCACATAGGCTCATATAGTAAAGACAAGTGTCTCACTAAATAAATAAATAAATAAAAGAAAAGATGAATCAATGAAGCCGAATGAGGCCCTCACTTTGCTGGAATCAAAGTTAGAAACAGCGAGCGAGCGAGAGAGAGAGTGTACACATTGTAGACAACTTGCTGGAGCAAACCGTGAGAATGGAAGAAATGAAGAAAAAGAAGAAGAAAAGGAAAAGTGGAGAACTCAATCAAATTCTATCTTAAAGACTAATGGGTAAGAAATTTCATCCTCTTTCTAGTGTTGTTTAAATAATTTAGACATAAATTGATTCAAGATGGATTTTCAAATGATTAAAAATGAAGATTTGAAGATCAATTATATAAATTGTTAAAATTTGGGTTTGCATGTAAAATCAAGTTAGGTTGAAGAATATGAGTTATGATTTCTCAAATTTGTTAAATTTGGGTTCAATTTCATATAAATAGAAGGAATTAGCAAGATGATGAATAAATGGAGTTAGACTCGAATTTATGGAAGTTAAATTGAGAATCAATTATGTTAAATTTGATTTTTGTAGTTTTGCATGAATTTGAGTTCCATTTCTACATGCATGAACAAATTTTGTAAGTTTTAATACTCTAAGGGCATGTTTGATTGGGTGGATTAGAGCATGGGATTAGGATTATTAATCCGTGGGCCCAATTATCTCATGTTTGTTTTAACATTTTGGTTTAGGATTATTAATCCAATGGATAATTAATCCAACAAATTTGTAGGATTATTAGTAATGGGGTAGGGGTGGGATTATTAATCCAATGGATATTAATCCAATTGGATAGTGAATCCTACACTAATTTAATAGGATTATTAATACTTCACTATTAGTCTTTTGAATCAAACATGACCTAATTGTACATGTATCATGGATTTTGAAGAATTTGAACTAATTCAAACTCATATTTTGAAGAGAAAAAGGAAAAGCTTTGAAAATTAGGGATTTATTTGATTTTGATCTTTAATCCATACATGTAATTTAATTTAAAAGTTTTATTCAATTTAAACACATTTTAGAATATCTATGATTATAAATTTAGTTTTTGGTTAAAAATTGAGCTTAGTTGAATTTCTAGGAAATTGATTTGTGTAATTCATAATTAAGTTGATTTTTGTTATTAATAATAAAATTGGGCTCTATTTTTACATACATCATGAAATTTCAAGAGTTTGGAAAGTCTAATTCATATTTTAAAATTGTGGGTTTGATATAAAGAAAATGAGTTAAATCTAAATTTGGACAAGTGGAGCATGATTTTGAATAAATGATTTCAAATTGAGAGTGTTTACTAAATTATACAATGGTTCTTCATATTTTTGTGCCCAAAACACAAGTTTTGATGCTTTAAATATCAACCTTGAAGCTCAAACACAATTCTGGAAATTCCAGAATTCATGCTGTCCGCTCAAGCGACCACCTTTGTTTTTGAGCCCCCGCTCGAGCGAAGGAAGTTGCGCTCGAGCAGAGACCCTATTTTCAGCAATTTTGACTAACTCTTTTAAATGCATATTTGCATCCTCATGACGTTCTAAGTATTCTTAGGCACCGATTGGACTCACATAGTCATAAAATAAACTAGAAACACATAACGAGAGTTAAATTAAAATGAAATGAATATTGACTAGTGCTTCTATTGTATCTTTGTTGTGTGATTTGTATAGGTGGACATCTGAGGCCTTACATTGACTTAACCCACTGTGAGTAATAACTTTATAAAGATATGTTCAAGTTACGTTCACTTTCGAAAATTTTATTGCTATCGAAATTGATATATAATTGATCGAATGGTTTATTGAAACGTTATGATGATTGATGGAATGGTCTATTCTATTGAAACATTATTTTCTCATAATGAATGAAGTTCTGTTTTGAAAACTGTACTCGTGGCATCCTTTAGTGAGGCCCTTGCTTGGGGAAAACAATACCATGACCCATTGACCCTTGCTTGGGGGAGATTAATACCATGGCCCATCAGCTCTCGCCTAGAAAAAACAATACCGTGGCTCATTGAATAATTGGATATGACATTTTGATTGACCCTTGAGGTTCCATTGTTATTAATACATTGTTACTCTATTGGATGTACCACGAAAATTGTCATTGAATGAGTATTGCTATTGCGATAACATGGATCATTGAGAATTGAATTGAAATCGGAATTGTATTGAAAATGCTATCGAACAATGGTTTTATTATTGCAATGCATTGATATGATAGCTAATTGAATTGATTTGCATATTGAAATAGATTGCTTTGGGAAATGAAATATATGTTTTGATAAGGGATTTGATATGGAAAATGTTTTGTTATAAATTTGATATAATATGGCAAATGCCTTATTTTGAAAATGATTTAAGATTCATTCCAAAATTGTAAGACATGTATTTGTACCATGTTGTCGAACTTCATTAATTTAATCTCTTTATTCTGTTATTACTCATTGGACTTTAGCTCACTATTTATATTTATATGTAGGTGAGCAAACTAAGCAACAAGGACAGAGAAAGCCTTGGGGTCTACCTGTGTCAGCCTTTTGAAGAGCTTCCGGAATGGAGCAAGTGAGGCTCGAGTAGAGCCAAGAAAATCAGTCCTTAGCTTTGTCAGAGCTTTGAATTTTGCTGAGTCTTAAATGTATATGTGTGTGAGATATATAAGATTTGTATATAAATTATTATTGTGTTTAAATGTTTTAATTATTTTAGTCATCATGTATGTACAAGCTCAATGGACATTGTTGTTTTTGTTTTGCTTCCGCTTTAGGCCCCGACATGATTATAAATATTTTGAAATTTTGTCTTTGAGGCCAAAGGTAATCCTAGATTACTGGCCAGTTATGATGCCAAACCTATAGGGGCGCGTTTGTGTCATGACATATACTCACAGAGGTGATAGCTTTGTATATTAATTTATATATATATATAGAGAGAGAATTAGATGATCTCCAGTTAGAATATGTAATTAGATAGTCTAGTCTGGTTAACTGTGGGCTCATTTTAGGCCCGTCTTAATATTCCAAACTATTCATTTTGTAGATCGCTAAATTTTTAAAAAAATATATATATATATATGATCCAATCGAGTGGCTTGATGTCCGATCGATTTAATTTTTAATATTCATGATATCCTTAAAATAACCTACAAAATAAATGATTTTAATTATTAAAATGATCTCAAAATAAGCCCATAGTCGATTAGACTGTGCCATTCAATTAGATATTCTAATAAGAGAATCTAGCTCATACATTGTACATAATGTATGAGAGTGCACGCAATATGTAATGTACAATCAATTTAAACATTGTTAACAAATGTCCTTAGAACACTCGTTAACCAAACCTATATATATATATATATATATATTATAGAGGTAATGTTATAAATGTAAGTTATGATAGTTTTGGATTTGATTATCATAAATGTCATCACTCAATTATATGAGAGTTATAACTTAAAAAAATGAGTTATAACCAAAGGGAAGAGGTTTCTCTCCAGTCCAAGTTGGATTAGAGAGAACTGTTGGGCCTCATGGGCTACTACGAAATCCGCTTCGATGATTCAGACTGCTTAATATGTAGTGCTCATTGAGTATTTCATCATTGTACAAAATCACATTGCTGGAATATCGATAGCCGCTTGATTAGATCACATTTGTGTTCACGGTAAATATAGTTTTAAAAATAAATTATTGACATAAATGTGATATGATCAAGTACCTATCGATATATTAATCAATGTGATTTTTTTGAATGGATGAAATACTCAATGAATTCTACATATTGATGGTTCAAATTACTAATGCGGCCTTCGTGGGCCCACCTCGAAGGCCCAACAGCACCCTAGAGAGAACCCAAGTCCTTAATGAAATACCATATGAGGTATATGTAAAGATCTCGAGTTATAACCAAAATAATATCATAACTACCGTCACAATCAGTCATAACTAATATCATAATAAATCATAACTAAATAATACAAAAGTCATAATCAAATATGCATATGACAGAACCCAATATAGATATGAGTGGTTTTTTTGGCTAAAATAATGAAAAAAATCAAACTAAGTGCTTGTTTGGGATACCTTATAAAAGACAAAAAGCTAAAAAGTTACTACAAAGGTAAAAAAGTTACTAAAAAAGCAAAAAAAATTAACACCATTCACAAAACCCAAGAGGCGGGAAAAATAGGTTCACTATTCAGAGGCAAAAAGACTAAATTGCCCTTATTTTGTCCGGTCCTTGCAGAATACACAATTAAAACATAGCTAGGGCACATAACTTTGGACCTCACATAACTTCTCACCTCAACATCTCCTCTTCTTCTCCATACATAGGTGTACACACTCCTCGTTGATGCCGCGATAGTCCGTAACGCTCACACTGTTGACTACCGGAGCTCCGCCACAACCTCCCCCTTACAGCATCACTAAAGTAGTCCAAACACGCAACTGTCCGTCATGCTCACTTCGGAGCTTTGCCACCACCTCCCTCTTATAGCATCACCAGTACCAGACGAGAAAGACCAGCCGGCGTCCAAATCTGCACCACCGCTGAACAGATCTTCACCATTTCAACCCGTCCCTCCCTAAAGTAGAAGGTAACATCTCTTGCAGTCCAATATTTTTGCCCATATACAAAATCCATTTGTTTCCCCCTTTTGCACAAATTGTTTACCTTTTTTTTCCCTTACATACTTCGGATTGGCATATGAAGTTGTGTTTGCAATTTTCTGGGTTTGCCAACAATTTGGCAAAGTTGGTATTGTCTTTGTTTTCATTTTTGTCCAATTTTTCCCCTGTTTGTTTGTTTCTGTGACAAATTCTCTCCTCTGTTTTTATTTCTCTCCTTTTTCCCCCTGTTTGTTTGGATTGGCGTATTGTTACTTTATAAATTGTTACTTTATTTGTCTCCTCTTTCCCCTTCATTTTGTCATTGTTTCAAAAAAAAGAAAAGAAAAAAAAGTTAACACATAAATATGAAATGAAACATAAGTTATATTGTGACTTTATTTTCATCACTTTTTTTAAAAAAAAAAAAAACTTAAATTTATAATTCAAACATATAATTGTTCTATGTTGAAAAATAATGATTTTTTGACAACTTTAATTCGAAATTAAAGTGGGACCCAATCGTCAGTTGAGGTGGATCTAAGTGGTTTTGTATTCTCTTCAGTGAGAAGATTGCAATACAAAAATAATGAGCCGAAATCATTGAGTTGTGAATGAAAATTGTCTCATAAAGTGAGCATCAATAAATTTGGGTTTAAATTTGGACTTAGTCTTGGTTTGGACTAGGCCTAGACTTTTACTTGTGCATCTGCTGGGTTTGGTCTTAGACTTGGACTTGGACCTAGTCTTTAGCTTTGGACTAACGTATGTTGGGCTCAGTTTGTGCATGTGTTTGAGTTGGGCTTAGATCGGGTTATGACCCAACACCCATATCCATTTTGCAACCCATCTAGTTTAATTCTCAAAACTTATACATTATATACATGTTATGATTTATATAATGGTTTTGGCGTTTTGAACTTTTGTAACTCTTGCCCTAATGGCTAGAGTTGATGACATTTGATGACCCCATTGATGTTAACCTTCATGGATAAGGCTCTCCTCTGCTAGTATAAATAGAGGCCTTTCTCCTCCAACTTAGTATGTTGTTTTTTAAAGAGGTTTTGTGATGGAAAATGAGATGGTGTTTTGAAATAAAAGTTGGAGATGATTTTTTACACCAAAGAAAATTTTTCCCATCTTCTTTTGTTAGCCTCTTCTTTGGTTCTTGTTAGAGAGAATGTAGCCATTGTCAAGTTTGCCAAAGCTATTTTACATTAGCTTGTTTCAACTATTGTATCCTGGGAGGCAGATGCCAACATACCTCCAGCACCTATCGAGAGGCGGTTAATCTGTTTTAAAGAAACTGTGGTATCACACAGGCTTCGGTTTGGGGTTTTTTTTTTTTTTTTCTTTTCTTATTATTTGTTTTTAATTTTTCAGAATTTAGTTTATCTCTATGAGTTCTAATCTTTAGTTATACATGTTAATAATTTGTTCATTTAGTAATGTATCTAATTTATTTCTATATTTAGGTGTGTCGTTTATTCTGTATTTCATCCTTTAATAATTTTTTTTTGGTCATTTCTACTTAATTTATTTTATATATTTTGCTTGTATTATTATGGAAAAATACCAACATTCACTCCTCAACTATTAAAACCATCCACATTCTATGAAGTATGAAATTAGCTACACTTTGAAGTACAAACTTTAAAAGCTCACAACTGCCTCACCTATTAAATAACAACATGAGATATTTGTCTTGAAATCGACAATGAAATTTGTGAACAACTGTATCTAGACACTTGTAAAAGAGAAAAAGGAAGAAAAAAAAAAAGACAAAAAAGAAAGTTCAAAATTTGACAGACTTTTTATTAAATTATTATTATTATTTATTTAATGTTTTCATGTTTTTCAAAACACTTTTCACCCTAAATAATACCCAAAAACACTTGTTATCATTTATCTTTAAGAATTATTAGATTATATTTTAACATTCTTGTATCTCAAAATATTTACATGATTCATTAAGGGTGCTTTTTTTGTTTTTGTTTTTATTTTTTTTGTGTGTTTTTTTTAATGTTTTTTTTAGTAGTAACAGAAAACTATAGGAATTTAAGAAATCAAAACTGTTGGCCACTAAAAACAATAACATTTTATTACCTGTGAAATTAATCTCCCACACATACTTTATAAATAAATTAAGTAACAATAAAGTAACCATTTAACTTTGTCTTTATAAAATAAAAACAAAAATGAAAACAATTCCCTAAAATTATAAATACAATGAAGAATAAAATAAATAATTGCTTTTGATAGTGGTTGTTGAAAACTGGAAATAGAAAACATTACCAATGTATTTTTAGCCAATGTAGAATAGAAAACATGGTCAATGTAAAATACTATTTACAGAATACGGTCTTGCTATCGTCACTAAACTTTATTGCTTTTTCGATATAGTGATACAGTCTTACTTCTTCTTGGTGTTGAGGAATGGGATGCTACTATGCGACTACAAAATCATTGGTCCAACTCCTAGTTTTGTCCCATTTTGTTGATGCACTGTATTCAATGCAGTGGATTACATTACATAGTCATTAATTCATATAGCATCTCACAAATGAGGAAAACCATTGTCATTTTCTTCTGAAATGCATGCAAATTGGACATAAAAATAACCAAACATATGATAATGCATTTGTCAGGTTAATGAAATGTGATGCAACAAGAAGGTAGGTATGAAGGGATGCATTCATGCATGGTTTCCCAAATTATTGCACACTGTAGACATCCCATTTTTGACTGTCCTTAAGACTTGGGTGCCACTGATTGGATCATTCGATGGTGCAGGCTATGCTATGCAAAGGTTCAATTTCTTTGTCAAGAAGAGAGTCAAATCCCAACCTTACACTCCATTTTTGGACTAAAACTATTTTGACCAAAGATTTTAGACCTTAAAATCCTCTCTTTCAAAATATTTTTGAAAAAAAGTTTCTACGATGTTCCGAGACTCGCATTTTGTTAAATGTTGCGCTTTTCGGTAAACCGAGCAAGGACAAAGTGGAAAAAATGAAGGAGAGGTGAACTCTTTGAAAAACTCTTTAAAACATCTTTTTTAGAGGTTTGGGGTTGAAGAAAATTGGAGGAGAGGGAAGAAACCAAGTTGGGGAAGAAGATGGGCATGAACCGCTAAGAGAGAGTTGAGC